GGATTCTTAGTGACGCTGAAACTTGTGCCGACATCCGACCTGTGCAACGGTGCGCAGCGACTCAGGGGTGATGGATGTTCTGCTGAGGTCCAGAGCTACGAGGGTGGATTTCTGCTCCATCAACAACCTCCTCAAGTTCCTAAGCGACAGCAGAGCTGAAGAGTCCTCGACGGCCCCCACCGGGCACCCTCGATACGGGTCAAACTCAAAAGCAATATGGCAGCCAGCCAGCGAGAGCCGACGGAGACGCGGCGTGCATCCGGTCAGCCGGTTGAAGGTGAGGTCAGACAGGTAGCGCAGGTCAGACAGGTCCAGCTCTTCCAGACCGCACAGTGCAGACCGCACCTGGAAGCAGATTATGATTGCTCATTTTTATGACACCATAAAAAAATTTATTGTTCAGATTTCTTATTGCCCGTCTCCACCCACCTGCTGCCTGTGCTCCTCCCTGGAGAGGAACGCTCCAGACATGAAGAGGCTGTCCAGACCTCTGAGGTCCAACCTGCGGAGGGAGGAAAGCCGAGGCAGCAGGGCCAGCAGGGAAGCCTCTGTTATACTGCTTCCAGGCAGGGCCAGGCTCTCCAGCTTAGGGCCCAGGCAAAGGCCCACCTGAGGAGGAGGCAACACAAAACAGGAAGGTTAGCAAAGGTGCTGCAGCTGCTATTTCAGTCAGTGGGAAACAGGAGAGTGGGCTCACTGCTGCCCTGTTGGCCACGTCAGTCTTGGCAAAAAGCATTTTAATCTAAATGAGACTTTTATGTGAATTAACAAGAACAATTATAACATCTGCCATAAAAATGATTTTTATTATCACCTAAAGCTTAAAATCCACACGCTGCTCTGACACCAACACAGGTGGACTAAACTTGGTCCTTATCTCATCTTCGCGTGATAATCCAGCGTTCACACACACAGATGCACATGATTGTGATAAGCATGAATTATTAAGTAATGACCACAGCTGCTCTGAACTTTGGACTGTGGCGTTTATTTATGGCGTGTCACATGTTTATCCTTGTGACAGGAAATTAAAATAAAAAGGCTGTGACATATATAAATGTTAAAACAATGCTAGTGTTTTCTAAGATAACTAGAGTCCAGACAAATCCACTGTAAAAAAAAAAGAAAAAGTTTCCATTGCCCGAGGTGTGTGAACTATGTGAGCCTACCAGGAAGCTATGATTGCTTCTTTGTGGGTTTGTCATCACATGACGTCAGGAATAGAGTTTCACAGAAGCAGCAATGGATGCTGAGACATTTTATATTAAACACAACAACAAAAAACCACCTGGACCCCTAACATGTGTCAGACAGGAGCTGTTTAACTCGTCAGAGTACTGCACCTCCAGCAGCAGCGACCTGGAGATGCTGAAGCCGTCGAGCTGGCTGATTATCAGGCTGCAGCGGGGCTTTCGGCCCAGACCCCTGATGAGCTCCAGGGACGAGGCCGAAGCCGGGAAGCGGAAGGTGATGTTCCTCTGCAATTTGAAAAAAAACACCAAGTTAAAATGTGCAGTCGCTTTTCAATTCATCGTCTCTGTTGTGGTCTGGGGGGAATGACCTGAAAGCGGGGGTCCTGGCTGGCGCTGTACCAGCTACGGCAGACCAGCGACGCTTCCTTCCTGTCTGAAGCGTGGAGAAAACTCAGGATGTAAACTACGACCTGCGGATTGAGACAGAAATGCTGGATTAGATTAAACATGCGCGAAGAGATCGATCCGAGCTAGGCTCACCTGAGAGCGCACTATTCGACAGGTACAGTAGGTCATGCGCAGTGGCTGACTGCCATTAGATACTGTTACTGTAGCTCACGTGCACTGGGTTTGTATTGGAGGAAAAATGCACTCACCTCCACGGGCAGCCCGGGAGTTTCCACTGCGTCGTCCTCATCGCTGTC